ATAGAAAAACAAAATATCTTGAATTTTTACTACTTTACTAATTTATTATAAAATAAAAACTTTAAGTTGATTGTATTATTAAATCTTCAAATGGTTTGGTTTTTTGGTTTTTCAGTTTACATTTGATCGGACATTCTAAACTTGTTAATTATGTAAATTGTATATATATTAACTTCACAAAAAAAAAAATTATAATAGACTTGTAGCTTGTTGTTGCGAAGTAGAAATGCTGGAAGGATCCTGTTTCTAAATACATACGTAGTCTATAATTTTTATATCATAGTAGCAATGGTCCAATATTAGAATGGAGAATTTTATCCATTCGTAATACAGATTATTTGTTTTGTTCGTTTTATTTGAATTATTCTTTTTCGAATTATTTGACTAAACTTTCTATGTAATTCGAAGACCCAAATTCAAAACGAATGAAACAAATAATTTGAATAGAAACCCTAAGAACGTTTTATTTTTTCATTTCATATATAAAATTAAACTCATTTAAACTCTTATTGTTTTAGGTTCTAAAATACACTGTGCCTCTAGAAAAATTGTTCAACCGGGGCTATAATAGGTTAGAATTATAATTTTAATTCTAAATGAGCAGAGCGTAAAAATTAGAATATCAGGGACTGACTTACCAAGTAGTTTTTAGTCTAAATCTCTGACAGTTCAGAGCTTTATTCATGATTCAATATTGTTAAATCGGAGAAATCACCGCCTAAAACCCAAAACCAGATATCGATTAAACCATCAAAAACATATCAATATTCATCATTTGCTTTAATATTATTACAAGATACTGAATTTTTATTGGAAAAAGAAATTGGGCAGAAAAGTTGAATGAAATATATTATTATCATTTTGAATTAACAAAGTATGGTAATAAAATAATAAATAGATATACTGTATATAGATTATGGATTGAAAATGTGAGAAATATAGAAAGGATTTAAAAAAAAAATTATTATTATTATACCACCTTCTTCCTCACCTTTTTCCTTTATTTTTAACTGAAAATATGCTAATGATTTTAATCAAAAGAATTCGAAGGTTGGACTGGAAAAACAATAATCATAGATATGATAGCATTTCAACTATTTTTTGTAATAACAGATATTCACACATTTCTGATATAAATAATTATAAATAAAGATAAAATTTATTAGTTGAAGATATCAAGATTCGTAGATAAATTATATTTTTTCTTTCTTTTGAACACTGCACCTCACACGATTTCAAATAATTTCATTGGGTTAATTTATTTATAACTTATTGGTTCGTTCGGAGCCTTAACCTTAGATATTATCCATAATCATAGCTAAAAAAATTTCCGATGGATCTCGCCAGTTACAATAAATAAATAAAGAGTTCCTTTCAAGGTTATGCTTGTATATTATATTATCAATTTGGGTATATATATCGACTTTTGGAGCCATTTTTAAAGGCTTCCAGGGGATAAACCAAACAAGGCATTGAAAAACAATTTCATATAACGATATAGCTTTTGCTTTGGGGAATAATTCTATGAAAAGATTTTTTCAAAAGTCATATGTGTGAAATTGAAAAAGGTCTTTTTATTTTTTTATTTTTTTATTTTTTTATTGATACAAATGTCATATTCATATAATTTTGTCTTCAACAAATAAATCTACATCCAATGTTCCAAGAACTGTATCAAGTTTTGTGTCGAAAGGCATTGAGAAATCTTTCCTTTTGAATTGTCAATCACAACACGTGGCGTGTTGATTAGAATTCGGTATAATAAAATCTCCATCGTCATTACTGTTATTGAACATATGGGATTTCTCATCACTTTCCCTTATATTTCTTAAAGATTCTGAAAGTTTTGCAGTCTCTGGAGCTGATTCATCTATATCGCTATCTAAGTCCCTTTAGAAATCAATGCTTAGAAATGATTTCAAACCCCCAATTTAAAAGTCAGTTCAACTTTGAAATAGTTGTTATGGCTATCACTACATTTGCTATTGCTATTTGAAAAATATTCATTATTAAAATTAAAAAATTAAGCATTTAATCTTTTGTTTAATGGCGAAATAATTAATTATTGAACTTGTACAATTTTTTATTTTTTGTGTCATCAACTGTTTTAATAAAAAATGGTCGCTGCAACCTTTTTTGAAGTTAAAATTTTCGGTGGAATTCCAATAGCATCTGTCCAATACTAACATGTCCAAATTCACATTGGTGTCCAACATTCTTTATAATTTATTATGATAAAAAATTATTAATAATAAAAATTTTTTTCATCAAAATGTTAAGGTTTGAGGTTGAATTACCAAATAAATAAATTCATTATAAAAATAATACTTTTTTGAGAATGTAGAACCGGAACTGACCTTTTTCTTCAGCTACATTTGATTAATGTTATGTTTTCCTACTACAAACTTAAAATTTCCTTATTCAAATATTTATTTTGGTGACTGAATTTGTTGGATTTTCATCATAAATATGTGGTGTCAAATTAACGAATTCGTTTGTTACAAACTAAAAATTTTATTTTGAATATATATATATAACAGTCAATAAAAAATGTGGACTTCTCTTTTTATAACTTTTTATAGTTGAATCAATCTATTTAAACATAATGAACATCTTTTTAATATTTTTAATATTGTTCAAATGCTTATTTTTAGTTGTAAATTCAGCACCAACCGACCCAAGACATGTACATGCCACTGTTATTGTTAACAATAATTTATATGTTATGGGTGGTTACACTAATGTTCTATCAAGAGAATTTTTTTCTCTTGATTTGTTACAAGCATTTGATACAACAACTCCACCATGGAAGGATTTAACTGAAACTTCACCATTGCCAGTATTATCATCATGGGCTAAAGCTAGTTCCAACACTAATAATGATACAATATTTTTGTTTGGTGGTATTATGTATGATACTGTAACTGCTGATTATAATTTGAAAAGTGTAGTTTATACCCATGATTTTAAAAGCAACCAATGGTTAGTAAACCCACCTGCTATTCAAGGAATGGCACCTGAAAGACGTAGAGAATTTGCAAGTGTTAGTGATCCATTGACTGGCAAATTATATATTCATGGTGGAGGAAATGATATGAAAGTTACTACCAATGTTTTATTTGATGACTTTTTTATTCTGGATGAAAATAATTTATCCTGGAGTCAAATTGGAAAAACTGGTCCAAATAAACCACCTTTTAGAATTGACCATGTTGCTGTATTGATTGCTAATGGAGTAATTGTCTTTATTGGTGGAAGAGAAGCTGCTACTCCTGCTCCTGCTTCTCTAACTGCAGTTCCCATGAATAAGGCAATAAATAATAACTATAATGATTAATAAAAAATGTGTAGTTATTAATTTAATATTATTTTATTATTTTATTTAAAAA